GATTTACTTGGATCCAGAGCTAGAATCATAGCAGGCGGCACATGTCCATAGCTGCTCATCTCTCCTTTCCAGCGTCCACCTCAGGGTCTTCCTGCTAATGCCTAATTGTCTCCATGAGGAGCTGGTTTGAGACACGCCTGACCACTCCTCGGAGCAAACTTTTTTTCGCTGGGCTCCGCACTCACTATTCTTTTATTGTGCTGAGTGTGTGGGAGTCTGTCTCCTCTTGGTTGTGAAGGCTCTCCTTGCATGGCGATCACCATTGGTGGGTCGAGCATGATTCGACCGTTGGGTGCTGCTTTGCCGGCAAGTTCATCTGCACGTTATTTTCCGAGCACCCCGGCGTGCCCAGGGCAGAACACCTATGTAATTCTTAGGAGGTGGCTATTTGCAATGGAAGCTCTCCAGTCACTGTAGAGCCACCCACTCCTGATTTTTTCTAGGGTGCTCATCGAATCTGTGACAAACAGGGCATGTTTATACGCTTCCATGCTGATCCATTCCAGCGCCTCTGTTATTGCCTTGACCTCTATTGCCATGCTCGACGTAGTGCACTCGTAAGCTCCAGACTGTTCTTTAATTATCTTCCCGTCAACTCGAGCACTGAACGCCCACCCAGATTTCTGGCCACGCCTCACTGATCCGTCTGTGAAGACGACAACATCACCCATAACTGAATTTTCCTCAAGGATGGCCACAATTTCCGCATTAGTTTCACTTGCTGGCCACTCGCGACACTCTCGACCTAGCGTAGCTATCACCTTCATGAAGTTGCTCTCATGTCCTTCTCCGGCCTCATCCAGTCACATCCTCTTCTTATGTCCTCGATTTCACAGCACATATCGAGACTTCGCTCCGCCTGCACCATCCATGAAGATCCTCCAATTTACTCGGTGGCAATTGACAAAAGTCTATTTTTGTCAATTTCCACCGCGTCACTCTGTGGCAATTGACACTCATCATCATCATCCAGTGCCAGATCTGCGACAGACATCGGTGATAATGGTTTTCCATTCATTCCTTTGCTCGGATGCTCTAAAAAAAAGCTACGTTTCCCTGATCTTTTCCTGTTACCCATTTGTTTAGGTTCCCTAAGTCAAGTATGTTGTTCTGGGCTTACCCCTGCCTCGCTTGCCCTCAATTTTGCCAGTGAGAGCTAGATGTTCAAGACCCTTATAAAATGTCTATTCAGGTGTCCCAAAAACTGCATTTGTCGTTTCCTGATTGTTTTTAACATTGAGTGTCCCACGTGGGCTTCATTAAGCACTGTCTTTAGTGATTGTCCAGCATTCACAGCCATATAGAAGGGATGACCAAACATAGCATTTCAGGACTTTCATTTTGGTGTTCATTGAGATGTTTCTATTTTTCAGGATTGGGTTCATTTTATTGAAACTAGCCTTAGCCGTTGTAGTTCTCCTTTTTATTTCTGTGGAACATTTGGCGTCAGATGTTATCATATATCCGAGATATTTAAACTGTTGGACTTGTTTGATCTTTTCACCTTTGCTAATGAGATTACAACTAGGGTTGACACTACCCTTTTTTAAACATTGCCAGCAATGGAAAGATATGCAGAGGTGAAGAAATCAAACAAGACAAAATGTTGGTGAAAAAACAAATTGTTGTAGGCAATCTCTTGAAACTGGCTCCCAAATGCCATTTTCAACCCTCTAAAGGTTCTAAGTTTCAATTTCTTCGGGGGCTTAGCCCCCCTGATCCCCCAACGGGACGCTGTCCCTGGACCCTGTATGCAGCACCCAGACCCCCGTCAGAATTTTCCTTACTTTTCAGCTTCAGCTGGTGGAAGCACTGATTAACGACATCCGACATGCAGGTTGTGCAGTATAAACCATGGGTCTCAATATTCCGCTATTTAGCGGATTTCCGCTATTTAGCGGATTTCCGCTACCGCCATTCCCTCCGCTAAATTCCGCTACCACAACAGCGGGCCAATAAGAAAGAGAGTTGCTGGGAGAAAGGTGACCGCCACTACTGCCAGGGACCAGGAATTACCAGGGAAATAGAGAAAAAACGCAAAGACTCGGGGAAGATGCATAAAAAAGATCTTGAATATTTGAAAACCAAACCCGATAACGTCTTTAAGTTATTTCATTTTTGGCGGTCGCGATTGTGATATTACTTCGTCGGCTTTTCCCCGTCTGAGAGTACGTTTCACGCGAAAGGCGGCTATGGCGGCAAGCGGAATTAATGTGACTCAGAGCTCGACTGGAAAATCAAGTTCAGCTTTCGTTACCACCGAAAAATTTGTCAGTAATAGTTTGATAATGCAACATTTGTAACATGTAGGTTCTGCATTACAAACGTGGTGTCGCCATGAAAATCAATATTCGTCACTGTTGCTGTCACTCGTGGGGGCAAAAAAAAAAAGAAAAGAAAGTTATACACGCGTCTTGTTGGGCTCGCCATTGTGACCGGTCAGTAAACCTGCGCGCGTTCTGAGCGCTGTGAAATACAGGACTCCGGAATGGGGGGAGATTTTTGTTGTTTAAAGATATACACTCGGGGATAGGGAGAGAGCTGGACTAGATCTACTGCAAATTAAAGTGCTCGTTGGTGCAGGCCTTGTGTGAAATCGGGAACTGCCATAACCTGTGAAAAGCGTGTTATTGAACTTACGGGCCTAAGTTTGCGCATTTCATTGGATGAATGACAGTAAATTATATGTAATTTTAGCTTTCTGTTCAAGATTCGCAGATTTTCAGTGTCACTGCATCTTACCCTCCCACATTTCTTACACCTCTCACACTAAATAGGTCTACTTGAGCTATTTGAGTTTGAGCATTAATTTTTGTCTGTCACGTATGTGATATACATGAATCATGACATATCATATAATATGAATCATGACACTCAGACTGGTTCATGACAGTCAATATTCTGGTTCTAGGCTTTTTGTCAGGCTCAAAACAAGATTCATTTTTATATAGTTTATATATATATATGCAGGCGAATGATGAAAGGAAAATATAAATAAGTTGCACAAGACCTCAGTGCGCCACCACTTTCTGTACGTAATCAAGATTGTAAATATTGGGCAAGTGACTCTTACTTGAAATTATCTTCCATTTCCAAACCCTCAAATTGGTGTGAAATAACCTTGCTTTGATAAATTGATGGTTTTTATTTCTGCATTATAGGGTGCAACAGTATATAATAATAATGGGTGTTTTGCGAAAATGGGCTTCTATTGCGATCACCTGGAAAGTTCCTCCTTTTTTAAAATTCTGAGTTGAGACCCATGATAAACGCTGTGTCGCTGCGCGAATAAAATTTAATCAATACTCGGACTAAGCTAACAATTGGATTGAGTCCGCCTCAGAATGGTGAGGGAGGCTAACTCCCAATAATATTAGTTGTGGCTGCTGTGAGAGTTTGGTTTTTTCCTCGATTTTTTCCGTTTTAAAATCAGGACACGATTATGATTTCCTGGCTTGAAAAGCTAGCCTAGACTAAGAAAGACAGCCAACTTTGTAAACGAATCGCTAATATGACGGTACCTAATTTGTAGTATTGGCATAGAATAGATCTCTCTGCTTTTTTTGCCTTCTGTTAATCCACTAATATCTTTAGGTAAGTTTACAGTCGAAAAATCTTGGGACCATTATTTCCACTATGCATTTAAAAGTCATATGAAATTAATTAGGTTTTGTCCAATGGGGGAATAAAATTATTAAGAATGAGACATTTTCTCAATTATTTTGATGGGTGAACATACAATAGGATTTGTTTTCATTCGCAACTCAGTTAAGTTATAATGCCACAATATAATGCCGCCTCAAATGAAAAGTTTTGTATTATAGTTCCTATTCTTGTTGGAAAGTTTTTTGTGTGTGACCTCATTTTCTGCCTGGTTCATTGTGTCATTTTCATTTTCATTAGTAAACCCTTACAAGCAAAGCAAAGTGACAAAAAGCAATAAATTCTCTGGGAAACTGTTGAAATGTCGGTTGACAAAATTTGAGACTCATTTCAGTTAATGTGCGTCTGTCAGTCTTTAACAAATTTTCTCTCCTGATAGATTAAATGTCTTGTCTCACAGCCGCAGCAAAATAATGAAAGTTTTCTTTAATTTGAGGAAAATTCAATATACTTTTATAACTTTATACATATACATTTTATGGTATTTGAACTTACAGTATATATGACATGATAATCTTTCGGCTCAACACACATGTGGTCATGAATCGGCAATGTGTATCCAAAAATTGACTCACCTTATATGTATATATACAATCTTGTGATAGACATCGTTGGCCAGTGATTGTGAAGCATCGTTGCCCATGATTTTTTAAATGAAAAATTGTGGCTTTGACTTTGATCTGCTGGAATGGCACTGCAAATAAATATCAGAACTTAATAAAGTGTTTCAAATTTTACTTCCTTTCATTCCGTGCCTGAAGGGAATGGATGAATATTCAAGAGTGTATTTTCACTACTAGCAGGGAGTCAAATTTGAAACATATTTGTGCTCAGCTTACAAGCTTATAGCTGAACGAACCTGTCTTGAAGTTACCCTTGACTTTCCCTTCTCCATCACAATTGAACTGTTTATCGACAGGATGTAGATCTACTGACTTGTTTTGCTTTTTTCTTACAATCTGAGTGGTTGTAATCTATCCAGATTACACTCTGAGACAAAACACTATTAAAAAAGTATCTCTTCTAATGTTGCTTATCAAATTAATATGATTACTAATGAGTTGACATGTAAGGAAAAAGAATTTTTTAAAAGGACAAATTCCAAATGATTGGCAGTTCCCTACACAGACAAAGGCAAAGGGGAGAAAAAAGAGATGAAATTGTAGTTTTCTTTCAGGTTACCTCTATTTTTAGATTAACTGTTATCAGATTAAAAGATAATCCATCATATGAAGGCAACAATGGGAAAAAAATCAGTCACCATACAGATGTAAATGTGGGAATACGAACGACTAGGTTTGGATATTTTAACATTCTCCTCCTTTTATATTTCTCAGGGTTAACGAAAGGAAAGAGCTTCTAATTTTCATCGCATCGTAATGGATGAGAGTTTCATAATGATAGACTCTGATTCAGGGTCTGAGGCCCTGGGACTGGAACCTCCTGCCGCAAAAAGGGGCAGGGGAAAGCCTCGAGGGGGGCGTGGCAGAGGGCGTGGCAGGAAGAGCACAAGTGGCGCTGCAGGGACCTCACGGGGGAGAGGGCAGGCTGCGGTAGCTACCAGGCGCAGTACGAGGATTTCAACGGCAAACGCAAACAAAGGAACGCCGTTGGACTGTGTGGAGATATTGGATAATGAAAGCAGCAATGATGGAAGTAATGGGGCTCTTGATTGGGAGGCTCCCATGAGTCCGGAGAAAAACAATGATGCTAGCACCTTTTCTCTGGCCAGTGTTTCAGATGAGAGAAATAATAATAACAATAATAATAGTGAAATCCTGACCAATTCTGTGGTCTCTCGTTTAAGTGAAGAGCCTATCATACATTTCTCATCAGGCAGCTCACCTTTAAGAACAAACTCAGAAGAGAAAGATCTTAGTTGTGACAATGGCAGTGAAGCTATTCTTGGGACTAGTGAGATAGCTGGATCCCAACAAAAAGATGGTACTGACAGTGAAACTGTTCCTGGGACTAGTCAAGCCGAGACTGTGCCTTCCACTTCATCTTCTTCCTCGTCTTCTTCTTCTGTGTTGCCAAAACTTGGACTTGTCAAAAAGACTACGAAAAGAGGCTTAGCCAAGAAAACTTCCGACTTGACATCTGTGTCTGGGTTGACCAGCTCATCCAGCTTTCATGATGTGTATTCAAAGCCTGTAGAAGTTCACAAGTTTCTCTATGACAAGGTTTCAGGATCAGGAGAGGCTCAAAATGGTAAGCGATGTGAATGTTGACATTTCTTTGAATTTCTACACAGTAATTTATATTTACTAATTAGATGGTTTTACTTTCTTTGTGAGTGGAAGAAGTTATGAGAGATCTGAGGATGCTGATAACATTTTGACTGATTCAGCCTGCAGCGCCTCTCACAATGGCTGACTGTCTCCTGTGTTTTGACGCTCCCTTTCTTCACCTCACTTTCCTCTCTTCTTTTTTCTTTGCCATTTACATTTCTGCTCTTTTAACTCGTGTCATTGAACAGTATCAGTTATTCTGAACATTTCCCTATCTCTATGCCACAGAGAGGGTTTTTATCAAATATAATATAGTTATTTCTTTATTAACTTTTTGTGAGAACACCTGTGAGGTCATGAAGCGGTCACAAATTATTTGCGTCTGTATTCAGAATTATCAGCGGTCTGAATCAGGTACATCTTTGGATTGGGCGACTTGGATGTTTTTTATTTTCTCTGATGTTCTTGTGACTTTGAATTTGTGACTATATCTGAGAAGTTTATGCCTGAAATAAGGTAATGAGGTTTACTCAGAAACAATTAGTCTTTCAGACGGTGACCCTTTTAATATTCAAAAAGTTTTTAAATTGCAAAAACTGTCTTTAACTACTCATTGAGCAAAATTTGGATGCATGTCTTTACTACATAGGGCAGCCCATTCTCTCAAGATGTGTGGCTGTCTAAAAGCAAAGGGAGAAAGTTACACTGGATGCCAGCTTCATAAGTTCATTCCTGTAGTTACTTTGTAATAACTTTCTTCTATATGTGGCGTCGGTGGCCTAGTGGTTAGGCTACCGGACTCGTAATCGTGAGGTTGCGGGTTCGGGGGTTTGAGCCGCAGGCCCGACGTTGTGTCTTTGGGAAAGGCATTTTACACAAATTGTCCCCATTTCGCCCAGGTGCAAATGGGTACCCGGCCATAGACAGTGAAAGATCTTGTCAGTTTGTTAGTGTTTGAGGGCTTAACCAGCTGCTTGCACTGCATGCTTCCTGGGAAGCTGAGAATGTTTCTGAGTGTTCTATGGTCTTTTTTTTGTTTTTTGTTTTTGTAAAGTGTTTTATGGCGCTCGCAACTGCATAGGTCATATGAGCGCGCGGGACACACCTAATATTTTCAGTTGGTAGGAAATTTTTGAATTTTGCCCGGGTGGCGGCCGAAGCCTACTCTTATCGATTTTAGACCACCAAGGGATCTTTAACGTGCGCAACTTGCACACAGGCCCTCCGAGATTTTTCGCCCTTGTCCGAGAAGGCTAGGTGTAGATCTTTCCTACCAGAAGATCAGGGGTGTGGCAGAAAGACAGCAGTAAGGAGGAGCCAAGGAGTAGCAGTAGAAAGGCTGCAGAAAGAGTCAGGAGCCCAGAGGAGGGGGCAAAGGAGGTGAGGGGGTGGGGGCAGAAAGTGGAATTGAAAGCAGACAACAGAACATTGCTAGAGAGCAGGAAAGGAGGTGAAAGGAGACAATTTTAGAGAACAAAATTTTTCGGTTGCTACCCGGATTCGAACTCGGGACCTTTGAATGAGAGGCCAACACCTTAACCTCTAGGCCACGAGAGCCCCCTTCTATGGTCTGCTGGGGTAATAATAAAGTGTAAAGCGCATAGAGCTTGCTTTCGAGTTGGGACATGCGCTATACAAATGCTATTTATTATTATTATTATTATTATTATTATTATTATTATTATTATTATTATTATATGTACTCCTGTCAGGTGAAACAGAAGATGTCCCAGCACCAACGGAGCCTCTTCTCCCTCCTGAGGAGCAGCCGACAACATCTGCTGGTGTCCTGGAAGAGCGTGCTGTTTCCCCTGCTGAAGAGGTCGAGTTGAGGTAATGGGAAGAAGAAGTCAGATTGCCTAGCTAGTTGTGTTTTGTGCTCACCGGTTTCCTCCTTTGAGAGTGAAAGGGGGGGGGGGGAGGGTGTCATTATTGTCTTCAGTTTTTCTTTCCTTCCTGCAGGGTTCTTGCGGCCTCCTTGAATTCAAGGAGTCCTTGAAAACTCCTTGAATTTGCATTCAAGGAAAAATCTTCTTAAAAACTCTTTGAATTTGAGGAACCTCCTTGAAAACTCCTTGAATTTTGCCGGATCGGACATGAAAACAAAATTTTTTGTCCGACAGACAATACTACGATTCCTTTCGGACAAGTGTAGGCCTATCGGAAATAGGTTTTCGGGGTGCGAGTGCGCTGTCGAAAACGGCATGAATTTCTTTATCAAATCCCCTTGAATTTTAAAATTTCTCCTTGAATTTGGTGGGGAGTTCATGGCAGGAACCCTGTTCCTGGTTCTCTTGTTCTTTTTAAAAAAACCATTTGTGGCCTAGATAACGGGCGACATTTGTCATTTTTTCATTGGTGGAAAAGAGGGCAAGATGTATTTTTCACCACTAACTCGATGCCTTTGAATGATATTGGTTTTGTAGGCCCCGGAAGGACTGAAATATTCAAAGGGTTCTTGTCAAACATAATTGGCATCTGTGACATGAAAAAGGATTCTGATTTTTTTAAGTCTGAATCGTTGTTGGTTAAGAAATGTTCTCTCCTCCTTTTTGTGCTTGTTACTCTTCTTTTGTAACACCTCTAATCTTCGGCACTTATAATGACTTAATTATGTTACAAGTGCAGTAAAACGCTTACTAAAACAAAACAAATGTTTGAACGGTACAATTATAAATAAACCTGCTCTACTGACCGCCTGTCTCAAGACAATCATCTGTACGGTACAAGAGACCACTTCTCCCGTTGCGTTTTTAAAAAAAATTTAGAAAATGACACTGTCCCAGAGGACCACCTGTCTGAGATGATCATTTTTCTCCTTGAAGATGTATGGTTGTCTTGGACAAGTTGGACTGTAGTTGAATTATTATATCTTCATCTGTTTTATTTTCCAGTGAAGATGAGTCTTTTACTGTTGAAGCAAAGAGGGGCTCCTACGCAAAGGCGAAACCAGTGGTACAGGCTAGAGTCAGGTCCCCGACTCCTCCACCCACTCTTGATGTCAAAGCCCCCAACGCCAAGAAAAAAAGGCTGAATAAGAAGCTAACGAAGGCTTTCAAGTAAGAATTGAATGAATATATATGTTGACGCATCATGGTCAAATCAGGTGCTAGGCTTGTCAAAATATTGAAATCGAAAAAGAACAGGCATTTTCCCACTGGTTCAGCAATTTTTATCTAAATTTTGGTTTTTGTTTCAACACTTTCTATGTCCATTTAAAAACAAATCTCTGTGTGGATGATACTGAAAAACATTTATAAAAGGCTCCAACAAATGTAAATTTTCAGTTTCCAAAGACTCTCAAGCAGTGGAAGTCACCCACCTTTGGTGGCCGTTTTCTCTCTAATTTTAACTTGTGAGTACAGACGACCCCCACCTCCTTCAATAGCAAGTATCTTGACTTTTTTAAAAGATAGATGGGTATTTTTCTCATAAAAAACAAAGGGTGGACATGTGAAGAATGAAGAAGATAGAGAATACTGTCGTTTGCACTCTGTTGGAAAATCTTGTACATATTTTACCTGACTGCATTTGTGCAGAATTTGTGTAATAATCCGCTCAGGTAGAACACATACTTCTTTGCAAGGTTTCGTCTAAGGCCCATCACCATAGATTGACAAAATTTCATTGTATAAGTTTGCTATTTTAAAAATGATTCACCAGCTAAAAACTAATGTTGAACAGATGTTTCAAATTAAGAATAAAAAGGATGAAGTCTACTTCAACACCAAGATGGTGTCTTTGTGTAACTGTTCACAGTAAAAAGGTTGTTAATTTTGTCCAAAACGATTTCCATAATTTGCGTTTGCTTCATGACTCACCCTTGGTTTTGGGTCGGTAGCGGCTTTTCATACTGTATTTCTGTCTTATTTCAGTGCCTTGGTGAGTGCTCAAGTAACATTGAACGATCCTCCGGTAACTCCAATTCGCAACACTCGCAGGGGCCGTAAGTCTGCAGCAAGCGACATAATTTTAGTCGAGGAAGAGAGCCCCCAGAAGATTGACATGGTTGTTAAAGTCAGATTCCTATCGAAAGTTCATAGAATCAAGATGAAATTGGTAATTATAGCATTTTTTGGTTCGTTTTTTGTGTAGAATAATTGAGCTGTGTCTACCTCAACCATGTTTGAGGTTTATTTTACTTTTTTTTTTTTTAGGTCCTTGGTATGATTTCTGATTATGGCAAAATTTTACTTTTGTTTAAGGTACTTTATGATATTGCTTGCATTTTTACTGAGCTGTCTTATTTATTTGATTGCTCGCACATACATCTTAAGAATTTTGTTTTATGCCAAAAACTGTTTCTTTACGAGAATTAGTTTTTTGTTTTGTTAGGTTAATATTGTTTCTAATTTATATAAGTTGTTAAGCTTTGTGTTGTATCTTGGGGGGGGGGGGGGGGGCAATTTTACCATTGTCGTGATGGTTGCTAGTACCTTGTGCCATTCTCCTTATTTTTCTGTGGTGCAAGTTACTTCACAATTTGTTGACATTAAGTTATGTGACAGGTAGTTAGTGAATGGATTGGGTTGACTACAATGAAAGCAAGGCAGGCCAAAATTAAAGTTGAAATTAGATGTTTTGATTCATGAAATCAAGAAATATTGTATTCAGGCAGAAATTTTTATGTATTCCCGATGTATGACCTTCGCTTCTCCGTATTTTAACTCATTGATTTGTTTTTCTGGTTATTCAACAACCATTGAACATGTGCTGTTTTGGAGCCCTTTAAACAAAAAGTATCACTTTTTTAATTCATACGTATTTTTCAATTGTTTTTTATAATCTCAAACTTATAAAGACAGGCAACCTTGTGCACGAAATATGCGAATTTGTGTTTTTGGTTTGTACCGGATAGTATGAAATGTGTTAAAACATTGCCTTTGGTTTGTGGCTTATCGGATATTCATGTGTCAGACACATCCTTAGCGAACTCTTTATCATTGAGTGGGGGGGGGGGGGGGTTGTGGATAAACCTGCTGGGGCCCTCTTTTGGTACAAAATCTGAAAGTGACAAATGAGTCACTAGATTAATCATTAAATCAAAACATGTGAACCTATATTGATAGTTCTTCATCTAATGAATGAACTCAGAGTAAAAGAGACCTGTTTTGGAAATTGCTGAAAATTATTTGACGTTGAAATCGTCATAAAAGAATGTGCTCGAGCGGCTTGCCGAAGATAAGGAGTTAAAGAGTTGACGAGAAAACCCTGTTGACCTATTTCAGATTGAGCCCTTCCAGTGGCTGGTGTCTCGTCTAAGCGAAGAGCTTGGGGAAGAGGAACACGAGCTGTCGCTTTTCCTTCAAGACAAGCCTCTGTTGCTGAAAACAAGCCCAAAGGACATCGGGTTGACTGTCGCAGATATTATTGGTATATATGTGTGCTCTACCTTTGTGAATGAATTTGCTTGTTAATCAAATAATGCCCCCCCCCCCCCCCCACCAGGGCAGTGCATTGATTGAAGTTGTCTTTAGGCCATTCCCAATTGGGGAATATTAACATGTTCTTATGCACAGTAGAATTGTAAATGGGCTGATTTATCAATGTCATGCTCTTACTGTGCCGAAACAATAATATAGGGGGAACTGTTGCTTTTTCTTTCCTCATCCTTACTATCGTTATTTTTTCCTCTACTTCTTTTGTATGTTTGTCACTCTCTTGTGAACTGCTATTTCCGGGGTGCCTTAATAGTCGAAGCAGTCTTTGTGCTGTTGAGGCTAGAGAGGTGAACAGAGTAAGCCTGATGCCCCGTTTGGACTTCTTCGTTGACATCCACCCCTTGGCGGTCATATGACCTTCTGCAATTGTGAGTGCTGTAAAACCTTACTAAAACATAGCCAAATAATATACTATGCCCACGACACTTTCTTTTTCTCCTCTTCTTTCAAGTGCCAAATGTGAAACAGATATGATAGATGATTGTTCACCACTCATTTCTCTGTTCAGATGTTCTTTAAAAAACTAGACATATTATTATTATAATCCTGGTCTTTTTCCATCACTACCACCATATTCCCAGGACATGGTTTTAAATGTTTGTTTCTATAGATGGTGCTTTTTTTTTTGCTATGAAATAAGTAAAGAATTCAAATGCTCTTAGTGTTTTTGCATTTTTTTCACTTTCCTCTGTTTCTAAATCTTTCTCTCTCACTTGCTGTCACTAACAGTCACTCATGTATTAATCCATGTGAATCAGAAATGTCTTACTATTTACAAGTCAAACAATTTTCAAGGAAAGCCATCAAAACCTGATCAACATCCAGATCTTAGTTAATCGATAAAGTTTAACCTGTTCCCCATGTGGATTTATAGACAATAAAGTGTATCTGGGCATACATAGATGGAGAACTAAGCACTCTTTTCCTCTCGTTTCTGTGTTCTCAGAGTGCTACTGCATCGCGGCCAGGGATGAGGATGATGACGGGGATGAAGACGCCATTGACTTGTACATTCAGTGCAGCGACAGAAGGACCAGGGTGATGATGCGAGCCAAGAAGGTGATTGGCTGGAAATTTTATCATAATGTTTTTTGTACCAAAGGATAGAGTTTTCATAACTTACAGGTGTGTGTGTGTGTGCATGCGTTCGCTGTTTCAACCCTGCTTGTTATGGAAAACCTGAGGCTTAGTCTAGTGGTTAGGCTACTGGACTCGTAATTGTGAGATTGTATCGGACTCATAATCGTGAGATTGTGGGTTCGTGGGTTGGAGCCTCAGCTCGGTCCGACGTTGTGTCCTTGGGAAAGGCACTTTACACGAACTTCCCACTTGGCTCGGTCCTATCGGAGATGGACGTTAAACTAGGAGGTCCCCCCCCACGCCCCCCCTTAACTCTTTTTATCCTAGCAGTACCCCCACGGACTCTGTACCCGTCCTGGGGCTGCCGCGCCGTATGAGTCGGAAGTCAGTGCGTATAGTTCAAAGTGCTATATTTCTTACATTTACTCTAAGGTTTTAAGGAAATTTGGCAGTTATGTTAGAAATTGAATGTAGTTTTTGTAAATGTATGTGGTTAGGAAATACACCAATAGCACAATGTAGATTTTGAGGTGTATTCCACCCTCGAACTTCACCCTGATTGCCGCGCCCACGATGTCCCATTGGATTTTATAGATCTAGATCTAGCCCTACCCATCGAGCACGAATTCCAGTACCGACCCCTTCACCATGATCGGAATCGCTATTAGATGAGTCTAAGTCCTGTTTCTTATCATCCAAAACGGAATTTACGGCATTTATTTCAGAGCCACTTTCATCAAATTAGTATCATTCCCCCTCACAACCCAGCGCCACTTCAAAAAGTACTTCGTCGGTCATGAATGTGCGTTTTCGAGACAACTTTCAAGCTTCTACACCCATCAAAAACAAAGAAACCACTGTTCATTGGAAAATTGAAATATTCAGGCAGAGCTAGCATCGCCGTATTTGCGTATTTTGGTAATTACAAGCAGAACTAGCTTCTTTGACGTGACCGTATCGCTGTTCCGAGAATACTCGTAGCCCGGACTGGTCCTCGTTACGAGTATACTCGTAGCCCGGATAAAAAGAGATAACCTAATAGTGTGAAACCTATACAGTGGAGTCCACTTATAACAAGTCCGGAAAAAAGGAGAAGTCTGTTATAAAGACACTATTCTAAGACTCCATTTTTTTCTCTTCTTTACCTTTGTAAATAAAATACTGCTATAACGCTATCAGACAAACATGCCAGTCTGTTATAGTGGAATATTGCTGCTGCTGTGAACAGTGCATAGGCTAGTTATACATAATGCAAGACCTCGCCAGTTGAGAAACTTGTTGATCTAGCGAAACAAAGAATGGGAGATCCCATGTGTGTCAACAATGAAGGCCGGAGCGACTGAGTAGGGAGGGTGTGGCATGCGCAGACAAGCAGAATGCATCGTGTGATAGGCCAGTGTAAAGCCTAGTTTAGATTATCAGGGCCTACCATGCCTCTCACTTCTCCGATGCGGGGATGGAGAGGTAGCAGCAATGTGATGGTTGGAGCGAATGTGTGACGTGCGCAAGCTGACCAGGGTGTGGTGGGGTGGGGGAATACACAACAGACGTGTTATCCCAGAGCCCTTTCTGTCTGATCGCCAACGCCAAGCTGTCAGTTAACATCGCTAGATCTAGCGCTAGAGAAAGAAACCTGATTCGATTTTTGATCAAGTAAAACCTTAAGGTCACATTGAAACAAAATCATCATCAGGGGAGACATCAAAAGGAAATAAACAGAACACCAAACTCATAGATTAGGCCTACTTTACAATTTCCCTTGACTTTATTACTGGATCCCTTATAGCGAGAATTCTGCTCTAACAGACATTTTGCTCCAGTCCTCTCCCTCTTGTTATACATGGGTCTCAATAGTCCGCTATTTAGCGGATTTCCGCTACCGCCATTTTCTCCGCTAAAGTCCGCTACCGCGATAGCGGGCCAATCAGAAAGAGAGTTGTTGGGAGCAGGGTGGTTGCCAGGTCGCGGGAATTTAAAAAGAAATGGCCGAGCCCCGGGAAAATACATAAAAGATCTCATTTGAAAACCAAATACAATAACGTCTTTAAGTTCATTTCTACCGGTCGCGATTGTGATATTAATTCGGCCCAGAGAGTACGTTTCGCGCGAACTGGTGGTTTTGGCGGCAAGCGGAATTGTGTCACCAAGGTTCGACTGGAAAATCAAGATCTACTTTCGCTTTCGTTACCACCCAGAAATTTGTCAGTAATTGTCTGATATTAACGCAACAATTATTGTAACATGCAGGTTCGGCATTACAAACGTGGTGTCGCCATGAAAATTAATCAATATTTGTCACTGTGCCATCACTTATGGGGGCAACAAAAAGAAAAGAAAAGAAAGTTATAATACAAGCATCTTGCCGGCCTCGCCATTGTGACCGGTCAATGAACCTGCGCGCGTTCTGAGTAATCTGAGGGCTTCGAAGTACAGGACTCAGGAATTGGGGGAGATTATTGATTTTTTTTTTTAAAGACGCACTCAGGGATAGGGGGAGGGCTGGCGACGCAACACCAGAAGACAAAAAATCTGAAACTGGAAGCAAATATGTTTTATGTTTAGAATTTTGAATACTACTGCAGCTCTCTGCAAAGTAAAGTGTGCGATGGTGCAGGCCTTGTGTGAAAACGGTAACCGTCATAACTTGTAAGCGTGTTGTGGAACTTGGGGGCCTAAGTGTTCGCGTTTTATTGGATTGGTGACAGTAAATTAGATCTTTATATTTTAGCTTTCTATTCAAGATTCGCAGATTTTCAGTTTCACTGCATCTTGCCCTCCCTCAGTTCTTTTACACCTCTCACACTGAAAAAGGTATACTTGGGCTATACTTCTGTACTTTGAGCATTAATTTTTGTCTTTCACGTTTATTATATAGGCCTATGATATGAATCATGTCCTCGATATTCTGGTTCTAGGCTCAAAACAAGATTCATTTTATAAAGTTTATATATACAGGCGAATATGATGAAGGGAAAAATTAAAAAGACCGCAGGCGCCACCACTTTCTGTACGTAATCAAGATTGTAAATATTTTGTACGTGACTCTTCTTACTTGAAATTATCTCCCAAACCCTCATATTGGTGTGAAATAACCTTGATTTGATAAATTAATGGTTTTTATTTCTGCATTCTAGGGTTCAACAGTATAATAATAATGGGTGTTTCGCGAAAATGGGCTCCTGTGGCGATCACCCGGAAAGTTCCTCCTTTTTTAGAATTCTGAGTTGAGACCCATGGTTATAACAGGATTCCACTGTACCATTTCAAACCTGAGGCTGAGAGTAGAGGGTCCCAATAGCAAGCCGGGGGTACTCGATAAAATGGACTTCCTCGTGTGGGAGCTGAGCTCCATCTTTTGTAAGAAACAGTGAAGGTTTGGAAATTGGAAATAGTTTTATTCCTCATGTGTCAGGTTAGGTTAAAAGAATTTTTTTGTACTGTGTGCTTTTGAGCAATATGACTTAAAAAATAGGCTATCTGGTGTGTGTTGATTTCAGATTAGATAATAGATAACATTTTATTTATCATCTCAAAGAAAAATTTGTTGGGAGACATGGTAAATACATACAGACACCAGTCAACATACCCACAAACACACACACACGTGTCATGCACGTGCGCACGCACTGGCATGCACACACACACGCACACACACACACACACACACACACACACACACACACACACACACACACACACACAGTTATATTCTCAGATTCTGAACAAACAGGTGAATAGTTATAATTGGATATCTCCTCAAGCAAAACGAGAAGTAAAACCTCGTTTCTTTTCCCCTTTTTTTCAGCGATTGCCCCTGAGTGATGTCATGCAGAGATATGCGACCCGAATGGGTCTGGACGAGTCCAAAATCAAGTTCTCATTTGACGGAGAAGATGTGAACTCGAGGGACACTCCTGACAAACTGGACATGGACAGCGATGACGTCTTGGATGCTGTTGTGCTCCACTCATAGCTCTAGGGGGGGGGGATAGGGAGATATTGGTGTGTTTGAGGAAACTGGTAGTTTCACTCAGATCTTTCTGAACTTGTGCCTGCAGACCTGCCTAGTATTCCAATAAAATTGAAGCTCTCCAATTTTACATTCTTTTTTACTTGTTGAAGAACCGAGATTGGATTTGTATAAAGTCTGATTTTTTCTTAAATTCCATTTCCATTGGTTGTATGAGACTTTTGTAAATTACGTGAAAATATATATTATTATTTACATGTATTCGTAACTGTTGGTTTGTCAATCTTTAGACTTTAGGGGTTCTGGAGACTCCCAGTTTTTTTCTCCAAAAACCCCTCTATTCTTTAAAAAGATTTTGAGGAAATCTCTATTTTTGGTCTTGGAGTGGTTGGCAGGTCTGTCTTATGTTGCGGCTTAGCCCTTCAATCTGGATGTTTTTGTGCTCTGCTCATAGCCTTAGGTGGGGGTCAGGGGGTCACAGGGATAGGGATGGATGTTTGTGGGTTTGAGGATACAGGCAGCTCTAGGTTTTTCTGAACTGACGCCTTGTGTAGCGGTTTAACCAATCACGAGGTTATTGATAGTCACAGTGTCGTTACCCTACAGACTTACAAAGCCTGCTCTACTCTGGCATTAACCAGATAACAAGGACATGTGGTTACTTCAGGGAGGCATTGCGCTGCAAAGAGCGAAATGCTCGCAGCTAAAGGGATTTGAAAACAACAACAACAGTGTCGTTACTGTCCCTCAGAGGTTATTGCGACCTTAGTCGTGATGGTAAACATGGGCTCTTGAGGCTCGATTTTGTGTCAGGAACCGCCGGAAATTGTTTAAACTAAGTTAAACTCTTTTCAAGGAAGGTTTACCTAGCACTTCCTGCCCCAAACAAGAATCTAGACCGAGGATTGGAATAGAAAAAAAACCAGTCTAGGAATTTGTTTACATCAGTCACTAACGCAGTAATTGAATCTGAAATGGTTGCAAATATGAATGTTCAATGCATTTTGTCGGGATAGTAGTGATTCAAGAGGAAACAGACTGCATTTCACTGCAAAAAGTGTGAGGTATATATAAATATATAGCCCTGGTGTCCGTGGCTGCTTTGAACTGTGTCACTTACACTAGGACTGGGAGAAATTTGACACTACAACGTCAGGGCTAACACGCAGGCAAAGACGCTGACAAACAAACAAATTCAATCTATGACAAGGTATTGTTTTGAAAATTTTTGTCCCATGTTTTTTCTTCACTCAATTTCGATGATACTTGGTTCATATATCTTTATATTAAAGAAATAAGAAAGTTATAAGCATTTTTCATGACCCACCGGGGACCGGACAGTGCAAACTAATTCGCCTCTTGACGGGTTAAGGTCTTCACTGATGCGGATATTGTTTTCTGCTAGTATCTCTGGACAGGGGTCAGGGGGTCAGTCTTGAAGGGGTGGGTTGATGGATTGCAGTAAATTGACATTATTCAGGTCCTTGTAGATTGGCTTCTATGGTATAATGGTTAGACTTTGAGGCTACAGTGGCCAGCTTTTCAGAAGTGCTACGCCCAAAACTTGGACACATTAAAAAAAATTGCAGCTTATTAATCTGTGGTATTTGTGGCATGTGCTCAAGAAATATTTGTGAAAAATTTAAATTCTTAACCCTTAGAGTGCTGATCGCAACCACCGGTCGTGACGGCCTGAACTTCTGTTAAGTGCTGATCACGACCACCGGTCGCGATAGACATTGGCATAGTATCACGCGATATACGAAAAGAATGAAGTACTAATTTTTATAGTGCTGGCTGGTAGGCTACGCAGAATTGATTCCGGCCGCCATTTTTCTTGTCACGGGTTTCGATTGAGGCGCGAGGAGTTTTTTGTTTCACTTCGAAGTCGAGTGACAGTGAAGTCTGAAAATTCGCGATTGCAGACCTGCCACTCAATGAAATCTAAAAATCAGGATTTCTGAGTTAAAAAATCAGGATCTGGTGAAAAAAATTGGGATCAACGGCAAATCAGTCATAAAGGGCACTGGGGAAGGCGGAGGGGGGTTGTCCTGGTTCCCTTTTAAGAGGCAAGTATGCAGGGCAAAACTTTTGCAGGAATAAGTTCATGTTTGGGCTTCTAAATAGAGGGAAAACTGAAAGACAGCATATATGTAGTCTACTCGAGTGGAAGTTGGATAGACATGGGGAGCGAAGGTCGCAGTGATGCTGAAACTCTCATAGTCTTTTTAACGTTTGACTTCCATGACATCGAAAAAAAAGATCGCGCCAAGGTTGTAATTTTTTTTCTTCTTATTCCTTTCCCCTTAATTAGTACCTGTATCACCGCACGCACTTTAAGCCCAAGTGTCAAAACAATACCCACACCCCCTCCCCCCGGTCGTCCACACTGGTTAAGTCCCGAAAAACACCTCGACCAACGCGACCGGTGTGAATGAACTTTGTTGACCCCGACAACCGACGGTCCCCGACACACGCGCTACTCACACGTATGAGGTCATGTCATGTGATGCGAATGAGCCTTTGAAACTATGTCGATTTTAGTTGAAATAACGTGCGTGAGTCATCTACTAGATCTAAATTCGGCATAGATGCTTTAGAAAATAGCGTTCCAAGTTCCTGCAGATAAAAAGTCCAATCGGTGTTTCCAAGCAAAAGAGATTGCAGAACTTTAATATATTTTTTTTCTAAGAATCGGACGCAACAGACGCAATGACAAGAAATCAGGATACCGGCGATGGAAATCGGGAAAATCGGGATGTTTGAGATTTGGGGCAAAAAATCGGGATATCCCGATTAAATCGGGATGAGTGGCAGGTCTGCGATTGTGACCCGCTACAAACATGAAAATACTGTCGGATCAGATTCAGACGAAGATGTTCCGCGTATTTTCCTTGAATCGGAAGATGATTTCGAGGGTTTTGATGCTAGAGCTAACACTTTGTGGAATATAACGTAGGCCTACGAAGCATCTAGACTCGGGTCTAGATCTAGAGATCTAATGAACCAGCAGTTTTTATTCAGTCATTTCCAACACCACTACTACAACAATAACTTCACAAAATACTTTTTGCTTCACATATATCTTAAAGAACTTTCAATATTCTAAAACTGTTATTCTTACCTTTATTAGAAATTTTGACAAATAAAAAAATTATTAGCCAAAAAAAAGCGTATGTGCAAACATGGCGTTTTTCCAAAATAGATTCAGCACAGAGGGAAAATATAAGGGGAAAGAAGTCAGCGCTCTCAGGGTTCAAGTTGACAAAAGCAAGAGAAAATACCAAAAGCACAACTGTTTAAAAAAATGAAAGATTTTTTTTTTCTCTTTCCATACAAAATTTTGCTTTCTGGGCTTACATTTGAACAGCTTGCGGATGTATTTTATTTAAATAAATTTCAGGTTCTTCTGAACCTTTAGTTATGTTTTAACAGTTACAGTTATGGTCTGCGTCTTTGCACACAGAAGACATGAGCTCAATTCCTCAGTGGGTAGGTTATTCTGTGCTGAATCTCTTTCTGTTTATGACGTTGGTGGCTTAGTGGTTAGGCTACCGGACTGGTAATCGTGAGGTTGCGGGGTCGGGGGTTCGAGCGACGGGCCCGACGTTGTGCCATAGGGAAGGGCACTTAACACGAATGTTCCTCACTTCACCCAGGTGGGAATGGGTACCCGGCCATAGACAGTGAAAGATCTTATCAGTATGTTTGTGTTTTAGCACATATAAATGGCTGCTTGCACTGTGTGCTTCCAAGGAAGTTGAGTTTGTTTCAGAAGGCTCTCAGGTCTGCTAGGGTAATAGTATAAATTGTGATGCGCGTAGAGTTTGCTGTTGAGCGGGGATTTGGGCTATAAGAATGCTAGCTTATCTATTATTATTATTATTTCTGTTTGCTGGGATGTTGTAACCCTCTCCAGCCTGAGTTGTTGGCGTGACAGGCAGTCTGTCTTCTAAATAATGATCTAGATTATGTCAATGGGGGCACAGAACTGATACTATCTCATTCATCTGGGAGTGAATTGTTGGTTATAAATGGAACTACCGGTACTAATGCTTTGAAGGGTAAAGAAAAAAAAAAGGGGGGGGGGGGGGGGTTGTTGTGTTGCTCAAATACTACTGTATCATCATTTATTGTGAGGCACTCCTACCTTTCACGACTTTCAGGCAGCTTTTATTTAGTTTGTGTCGTTTTGAAGTTCATCTGCTGGGATCTTGGCTCTCTATGGTTCAGCGAGGTGTCTTGTTGATGCTTAAAAAAAAAATTCCTGAGCTAAAATTCCTTTTCCTGTCATTGCGTCTTTCCGTATTCTTAAATTTAAATGCAGGTTTTTCTGCAACAGCTGAACATTACTCATACTCATCTGAAGTGTTGTTGATAGAAATTATGTCTCATTATGATTATCTGTTGTGCTTGTACTCCAAATTTTTTTAATGTTCATTTTTTTCTGAGTAATGACTTCTTCAAACCACGACTGAATAGTATTTATGTAGCCTCTAGCTCTTTAAGAAGTTCACTAATTTTTAAAAGGGGTAGGTGGTGTATGGTGCTCAAATTTTTGCAGGTATCTTGTGGCTTTCTTTCAAGATAAGACGGTTTTTATAATTTTTTTCTGCAAAAGATGGATGAATGGTTGCTCTTTCAAACTGGTGCAATTCATGAAAATGGTTGTCTTGTTTTATGTTATTGTAAATGGCCTACTTATTACGCATATTGGTGTAAGACTTTATGACTGGTTTGACTCATGTCCTCTGGAATAAATGATGTTGAATTGATGAACGAATGCATGTTTTTTTAGCATCTGTTTTGTCTTTGTTCTTTTATTGTACCTACATATATGCTGCTTTAGAATTCTTTTATTGTACCTACATATATGCTGCTTTAGAATTCTTTTATTGTACATATATGCTGCTTTAGAATTTAATTTTAGAAGTCTCTGAACTGAACTGGCTGTGCAAGTAAGCTGAGTTGGAATCATGCTGGACAACAGTTCAGGTGATCCTAGTTGTTTTTTTAAATAAGTAAAGAGAAACAAATTGTCGCAATATAATGGGCATTTTGTACTTGGAAAAAGTAAGACAGGTGAGCTTCCTGGTTTACATTACGGAGGAGCCAGTTTTCCGGATAAATTTGGAAATTCGGATTTCTGAAATTTTCCGGGTTATAGATTTATTTATATATTCTAATCTCTTCGTGCTTGTCATATTACACTTTATATGGTCGCTTTTAAGGACAAGCAGGCTAACCCAGATTTCGGGGGTTTCCAGAATTCTTGACCTAGACCGAAAGTGGGCATTGCCTTACCCATAGGAAAAGTTTGGTTTCATTGGTGTGTATATTGTTTGGTTATAGAGAAAACTGTCCTTGTATTTTAAAGAAACTGAACAAGGGCCCAAAAACTTTACCTTCGATTTTCTCAAAACAGCATTTTTTGGGATATAAGCAACCATTATAAATAGTCATTTTTTTAAAGGTTTAGTCAGAGTTTTATGGTACTTGCACCACAATAAGGTCATATAGACTACGTGCTGAAGATTAGAGGTGTTACGAGAGAATTACATTATTTACGTACAAAAAAAAGGAGGGAAGATGTGGACAACAGATATTTGACAGGAAAGAAGGAACTAACCACGACAGAACACCTGCCAACCACCCACTAAGATAATCTCGACAGACGATGCATGAGACAGTATGATAGTATGGTCCATAAAGTTTGAGTCTCAGCACGTTCGCATTTCCATGAGGTCTGAAAACTTCTCGATTTTTTTCATAGCCAGTTGGGTAGGCCCTACCTCTGAGATGGAGTTTAAACTAGTGATGATGGTGAACGTTCAACTTCCACTTTCAGTGCCTGTGTTTTTTTTTGTTTTTTTTGGTGTTTCGCAGCGCTCACAACTGCACAAGGTCATATGAGCGCGCTGGACACATTAAACATTTTCAGCTGGTAGGAAATTTTGAATTTTGCGTGGGTGGTGGCCAAACCCCACTCTTAACGATTTTAGACCATCAAGGGATCTTTAACATTCGTAACTTGCACTTGAGACCTACGAGATTTTTCACCCTCGCTCGAGAAGGCAAGGTGTAGACCTTTTCTACTGGAACTCAAAGATCAGGGGCGTGGCTGAAAGACAGCAGTAAGAAAGAGCCAAGGAGTAGCAGCAGAAAGACTGCAGAAAGAGTCAGGAGTCCAGAGGAGGAGAGTGGGTGGGTGCAGAAAGTGGAGTTGAAAGCAGACAACAAAACATTGCTAGAAAGCAGGAAAGGAGGTGAAAGGAGATGAGGTGAAGACCTTAACCTCTACT